ATCTCCCTGCCTTGCAAGGCCCCAGCTGCCCCAGAGCGGCCAGCACAGGCTCAGCTCAGCCCCAAGGCGTCCACAGGGTACCCTCACTGCTTCCTCCCTCCGGAAGCCCACCCTATAGGTGTAACGCCAATTCCACGGGTGTCTCTGCCTCCTAATCTCAGCCCGTTCCTTCCATCTGCTTCTCCCGGCCCCATCTCCATCCAAATCTTGTCAGCTGCTTCCTCCAGGAAGCCCGCCCGATGGCTCCAGCCTTCCCTGCTCTCTTCCTCCGAAGCACCGGCTGGCTGGACCATCCCATGCCCTTAGTCACGGTCGGTCATCGTGGCCGTCACCTAATGAGCACCTGCTACGTGCCAGGCACTGCGCTCAGCCCTTCAGCCCATCACTTGCTTCCTCCCTCAGCACCGCCCTAAGAGGTAGCTACCATTTTTACCCATTTTGCAGAGAAGGAAACTGAGGCTCAGGTGGCACCTTGACTCACCTGGCTGGGTAACGGGGGAGTTGGGATGCAGACCCTGAGCACGGGCCCTCTCCCATTGCTCTGTGTCCCAACAGAGCAGTTTCTGCAAAAGTGGGTCGAGGATAGCGGGGATGCCAGACCATGAGGGAGCATCTGGGCCACCACGTTTGACAGACGCAGAGGCCAGGCCCAGAGGGGAAAGGGGCAAGGTCACAGAGGAGCTGGGGGCAGCATTCGGCTAGGACCCAGGACGGGGACGGCTTCTCAGAACTGGGGTCCCTAGGGCAGCACAGCCCTCTGGCCACCCATAAAGAAAGATAAAGGGCATGTGGTCCAGGTGGCAAAGCCCTGAGCCCTCACTGGCCAGCCCGGGGCCAATACCACGAGGCCCAGATCTGGGCAGGTGGTGTCCTGCTGCAGGACTGTCAACCCAGGGAGCGTCCCGAGCAGCGGAAGACAGGCCCAAGTGTCAGGGGCCTCCCAGCATGAGCCCCAGAGCCCTGACTGCAGGAGCTGCCGTGGCCTAAAGGAGCTTGTTTTCTGACCCACCATGGCATCAGACCACGTGGGAGGTCAGGGTCAGAGGCCTGCCCTTCTCCCAGATTCAGGCTGCCCAGGTGTGGCCTCAGGAGAGGCTGGCCTCCCAGACTCCCCATGTGGAGGGGAGCATGGGGAACTTGGTCCCCAGCCCCAAATCTCCTCTTTTCTCCTGCAGAAGTCTCAGAGTTTCTGGGGCTGGTGGCCCTTTCCTGGAGCGCAGCCTGGGGTTCCCAGGACACACAGGTTGCTGGGTGGGGGCAGTGTTTGTGAGTTACATGAATAACCCCAGCCTGGCTCTGACCTTAAAATTCAGGGTGCGGGTCCCTGGGCCCAGAGTGGGCCCTGCTTCTCCCTGAAAGCCGCCTCAAAGCTGGGCATCCTGCGCACCAGGACACGGAGAGACTGAGGCCCCAGTCTTGGGCTCTGTAGGACACAGCCCTGCTCTGCCCCCAGCCTGTCCCCAGCTTTAGCCCAGCCCCCGAGAGCCCACTGCGGCCTGAGGGCGACCCCTGGCGGCCACGGGGTATATTTCCCACAGAACCAGGGCCAGGGACTCTTCGCACCAACAGCTGCAGTGATGCCTCTTTCCCCAGAGCCCCACCCGGAGGGCACACAGCAGCCCTCGGGAGGAGTGTGTGTGCTGGATTGTATTAAACTCTTCCACGAACGGGGGAACCTTGTGTGGGGGGGGGGGGCGGGTGGCAAGAGCGGTGGAGACCTCGGTCCCGTGCCAGCTTCCCCCACCCCTCCGCCACTGGGTCCACCCAGTGGCCAGCCTGGTGACCAGAGAGAAGCCAGGCTTGTCCAGGGCAGCGACGAGGCTCCCAGGACCCTCTTTGCTGGAGCCTGACCCTAAACAAGGTCAGTCTGGTCTCTCACACTCTCCCCACACCCACACCCTCAGGCCCGCTTCTCTGAACTGCCTGCAGTTCCCCAGCCGCCAGGCTCTGCGTCCTCCCCTTCTCCCCCTCGTTCTCTCTCTGCCACCCTTCAGATGCCTCAGAAGATCCTTCAGACATGGCCTCCACCAGGGCACCTCCCTGGTCCATAGGCTGGGAGTCCCTATAGCCCCTGTTCTTGCCCCCTGGGAGCCCCTGTCAGCCTGTTTTAAAATAAATAATATCTTCACTTGTTTGTACCCTTCCCCCAGCTCACCTGGGCGAGAACTAGGTTCTTATCTCTGTTATAGTCCCAGTTTCTAGATGAGGGCTTGGAGCACAGAGCTTATCCAGTGAATGTTTGATGCAGAGAGGGGTGGGGAGGGAGGGTTAGATGGATTAATAAACGGATGGATGATGGAGGAATGGGTGCAGGGAGAGATGAATGGGTAGAGGGGGTGATGGCTGGATGGATACATGAGAGAAAGGACAGACAGATGAATGGATGGATAAATAGATGAATCAATGGATGGATGAAGGGCTAGAGGGAGGGAGGGATTGGAGGAGGGATGAACGGATGCAGGGATGGCAAGAGCAACAGAGGGAAGGAAATGAGTGGAGGGATAATGGATGGAGGGAGGGAGGGGGAGGAGGCTGGAGGGAAAGAGGAGTGGTCAGTGACAAGGCGACAGGAAGCCGCCTGCCACCAGCACAGGAGAGGGGAGGTAGAAAGGGAGGAGAGGGGAGGTAGAAAGGGAGGAGAGGAGAGAGGGCAGGGGGTGCACAGCTCCCCTCCCCACCACCACCTCCTCTGGCAGAGGTGTCTCCAGGGCTCCCTGGGAGGTTCTGAGGGCCAGGGATCAATGTCCTCTGAGACTGGCACCCAGGGCACATTTGGGAGCATGCAAACATTCAGAGGTTCCCAGAAACACCTGGGGCACAGAACATGGCAAAAGCCAGACTGGCCGCACCATGCAGGATGGGCTTGGGCATCAATGAGAAGCCATGCTCCGAAGGCAAAGGGGCTCGGGACCCTCGGGTTACACCTGTGCTACTTCATTTCATTCTCAGGCCACCCAAAACCTCCAGTCATGAGGAGTCCCATTTCACAGATGAGGCCACTGACGCTCAGGGCGATGAAGGAACCTACAAGTGTTGGGCTTCACAGCCAGGTCTGTGCACCACCCACTTGGTGCCTGGGACCGTCTACTCACCTGGATCCCTTCAATGCGCTCGGTGACGACGTAGGCATGGTGCATGGCCACCAGCGGGACCTTGACGCCAGCCATCCGGCCCACGGCGACTGCCCACACTCCTGCAGGCAGAGCACAGACAACTCAGCTCTGCTGGCACCTGGCGGGGGCCAGCCAGCTGGGCGCCTCTGCAGGCTTGTCTGCCATGGCAGTGACTCCCCAGGTCACGCCTGGGCCCCCACCCCTAAGAAAGGTCAGGTTTAGGGAGCAGCCAGGGTGGCCACTTGGGAGCCCAGAAGAAACGTGTTCCCACCTGCACAATTGACCACGCAGGGTGTCTGGATGGAGCCGTGCTCTGTCTCCACAGCCTCGACCCGCCGCACCCCAAAATCATCCGTCCGCACACTGATGCCGGTCACCGGGCAGTTCTCGATGACCTGAGAGCGAGAAGAGCTGCTTCCAAAGCCATGTGGGCGCTCTGAGCACTGACCACCTACCCTCTCCTACCTCCAGCCCAGGCGGTACCCAGGACACCTGCTTCTGCTCAGGCAGGCTTCATGTGACCCCACTGGGGAAACGGGGTGACCACAGGGTGGAAACTAACTCCACGTGTTCCTTGACTTGGAGGACTTGTCCCCCCAGACAGAGGGTTTTTTTGAAAAACAAAACGAAAAGGAGGGCTCATTTGACTGAGAGATGCTTGCGGTAAAAGGTCACATACAGTGCAGTCTGCCTCCATTTGATTTACATAAACATCTTCATAGAAAAGTACTTGCAGTAAAACTACAACGTCAACATTGGTTACCTCTGGGTGATCCTCATTTCTTCTTTCTTGCTTATTTGTCTTTTCTAATCTTTCCTACAACTATGTGTGTATTCGAGACAAAAGAAGATAAAAATTACAAGAAGAGATTTGGGGCGGGTTCACTCTTCCAGCAGGGCCAGACCTCGGGGAAGGGAGGAGAGCTGACCTGGGGGACAAACCTGAGGCCGGCCGGCCTCTGCAGGATCGGATTAGAGGCTCAGGTCCTATGTGGAGCAGACAGAACGGCACGTGTTCTCTTGCCTTCTGGTCTTGGGGTTCTTAGGCAGGAGGGGTGGGCTGGGAGCAGGGGACCCAGGGCCGGAAGGCCATTGTACCTGTGCTCCGCGGGCAGTGGCGGCCCTGGTGAGGGCGGTACAGGTGCCGGCGGGGTCCATGGTGCCGTCATGAGGCACGTACAGGGTCCCGTAGAGGTCTTCCACATTCATCAACGGATACAGTGCCTTGGTCTCTGCCGGGCTCAGCACGTGGGACTCCACGCCATAGGCCTTGCCCAACTGGGGGACCCAGAGGAAAGTAACTGAGCCCTCGGGGAGCAGACCCCCCCTTGGCCACTCTCCTCCCCGTCCGGGCCTCCAAGGGTCAGTTCGGACCCTGTGTCCCCCAGGAACCCTTAGCCGGCCACTGTGCCCCAGCGGCCCCCGTCCCTCGGGCCAGCTCCGAGGAAGAGTAAGGAGCCCGGGTAGTGCTCGGAAGCAGGCTCTGGGGCCCTCCCGCCTCCCCCATCCAGCTCTAACATGAGCCATGTGACGTGGGGCAAGTTGCTAACGTCACCTGGGGGAATGGGGGTGATAATGGTTTATGTGGTTGACACCTTTAAAGAGCTTAGACCAGTCCCTGGCACATAAGGATTTACTGTATAACATAAATAAAAATAATCCCCATAGGTCTGATATTTTGAGCTTCAACCAGGTTTGATGGTCAGACCAGCTCCCCAGACGAGAGACCGCTGCAGTCCTCTGTCCCAGGCCCCGGACTGTGTGACAGACCACACCCCCGGCTCATTTGATTGGCCCAAGGGCAGCCAATCAAATGCCCCCAGGCATCCATCCATCGGGACAGGCTCCGCCCAACTAGAGATGAGCTGAGCCAATCAGATTGTCTCTCCGAGCAGTGGGCCTGAAAAGCTGCAGAGACCTCGCTCAGCACTTGAGCTGAAAGGTTGCCTGGGCACCTTTGGAGCCTCCATCGCAGCTAATGAGTGAGCAAGGCGGCGGGGGGCGGGGGGGGGCGGGGAGAGGTGGGGGGAGTAGGCAGAATGAGGCCACCTCCTAACCCCAGAGACCCAGCCCGTTCTAATGAAGCCAGGTGCCGCTGCTTCCGCCTGGGCAGAGGAACTCGGCATCCCTGTGACAATGTACCTCTGCTACCCACACAGGCCGCTCTGCTCGCTGGGCCCTGAGCCACTCTTCAGTTGGTGCTCAATAAGGAATGAACTGCTGGAGGAGCCAGTCTCGGCCACGCCCTGGAATTTGGGGTCCGGGCCTGGCTGCCCTGGGTGAAGAATCAACTCTCCACCCCAGCAGAGGGCCTTCCACAGCGGAAGGCTTTCTCTGCCGTCTCGCCCACAATGGCGTTCCCTCAGCCCCGTCAGCGGTGCCGGGAGAAGGGTGGTCCTTCCTCCTGGGTACTGCAGTTTCTCATCATGCATCCTGACTCCTGTGAGCACCGTGCATGCCGACACCTCCCGGTTATCGGGCCTCTCCTGCCTTGAGGCTCGGCAAACGGTGCTGCGTAACGCAACGGTCCCATTTTAAAGGTGAGGATGCCGAGGCTCGGAGGCAACGCCACTTGGCCCAGGTGGCCCGACCAGCAAGGGCAGCACCAGGGCTTGAACCCAGATCTCTCGGGGCTCCTTCCCTGTGCTCCGCTGCCCCACCCACCACCGGCAGGGGGGCACACACCAACACGAGCCACTCACTCGCCCGGGCGGGAGTGCACCCAGGGCATGAGTCCCCGCCCTGGCAGGGGTGCACCCACCGACATGAGCCTCTTGTACTCATCCAGACGCTGCCGGTTGGACGCGATGAACAGGCCCCCGTTCTGGATCCAGCCCGTGTGCAGCCCCGTCTCCTCCCCCAGGTCGCGGCTCACCACGCGCCTCGTGTGGGCCAGAAGCTCCACCTCCACGTCGCTAGGCCGCAGCTGCCACAGCAGGCCTGGCGGGGGAGGGGCGGGGCGCCGTCAGCCCCAGCACTGCAGTGCTGCACCCCGGCTCCTCCCAGCAGGCCAGGGGTCCTGAAGACCAGGCAGTGGGCGGGGAGCGTCTCTGCAGGCCGTGGAGAGCCCCGGGCGGGAGCAGGAAGTGATGGAGTCAAAGCTGAGTTCCAGGACGTCGCCCTTGGGCAGCTCAGAGCGTGACGATACCCAAGGCTCCCATTTATGGAGCACCTGCTGTGTACTGAGCCTATCACTGGGTGACAGAGCAGTCCTGGGAGGCAGGCATGACTATTTTATAGTGAAATTAAGGTGGCACCAAACGGTTCTGTGCCCAGGATCACAGGACGGGTGATGATGGGGCCGGGACCCCAACCCAGGACTGACTGAAGTCCAAAGGCAGCCTGTTCACCAACAAAGCTGCTCCCTTCCGAGCAGAGTTTGGGGAGCGGGGGGCCAGGGGAGAGGTAGCAGTGGGGGAGAGGCTGTGTGGGCCCGGCCGAGACAGGACGGTGGGTAGGCAGGGGCAGTGGCGTGCAGGGCCGGCTGTGTCAGCTCTCAAGACACGTGATGCCTGAACCTCTCCTCAGCTCCACATCCAGCGACATCACGCTCACATTGGCCAAAGTGGGAGTGTTTTCCCCACAGAGCCTGGCAAACTTAACGCAGGGTTAAGGCAAAAGGTTGGCTGCCCTGGGGACGTGCACACAGTAGGTGCTTTTACTATATGCCCACTGGCTAGTTGGCTGAGAACCATGGTGCCCATGGAGGACACCCCCTGATGGCCCCTTCCCCGTCCATCCTCTGCACCCCGTGGACGGCGCTCACCCCCGGTAGCTCCGTCCAGGGAAGGGGCTTCTGCTCTTTGAATACACAGCTGCCTGGGCTCCCAGCTCTGGTCTCTGCTCTGCCCTCCAGGATCCCCCAGTCAGCGTCTGCTCCCTCCTCCCCTCCGCAGCTCTTCAGAGACTCAGGGGGCACGCAGGCTCACCCTCAGAAGGACCCCGCGTCTTTTCCCCATGTCCTCCCCCTCCAGCTCAGCTGCCTCTAACAGGCCTCCGGCTGCCAACCCAGAGCTGGCCCCCGGCTAAGTGCAGTCCCTCCCGCCCCCACGTGCACCCAGGCCCCTACCCGCCGTGTGCCAGGTGGTCCCGGAGGTCAGCCGCTCCCGTTCCAGTAGCACCGCCCCGCTCATGCCCAGCTTGGCCAGGTGGTAGAGGGTCTGGCAGCCCAAGCTGCCCCCGCCGATGACCACCACATTGGCTGTGCTGGGCAGGGGCCGGCTTGGGCCCTGGGCGCCTGCCCGGGGGTCCCGGGCCTCTTTCAGGGTCTGCTGGTAGGGCACACTCTTCTCAGGGCTGGGCCGGGCCCCGCTGCTCAGGAGTCGCAGCCCCAGGCCCCGGGCAGGGCTCCGGCGAGGACAGGTGGCGGCCACACGCAGGGCTCGGCTCAGCAAGGCCATGGGGACTCGGCTCGAGCACCGCAGGGAGCTGGGGAGAGAGTCGGGGCTGCCTGGGGCGCAGAGGGCTCTGTGCAAGTGAGCCCCAGGGCCCCCGCGCTGTCACCCTCTGGCCGTCCTCCTGCCACCCACCCACGTCACGTGTGCACCCGTGCATTTGTCCACGTGTACTGAGGGCCTCGTACGCTACAGGCTCTGGCTGGGCCCAGGGGAGACCACGGTGGGGGCAGAAGGGGGGCAGTGTGCGTGGCGGGGCAGGGCTGCAGGGCTGCAGGGCTGCAGGGCCACAGGGTGGGTGGCGGGGAGCCTGGGGCAGGGACACCCAACCCTCCAGCCTGTACCCAACACGCCCTCCGGGGCAACTCCCGTCTCAGCCCCAGACAGAAGTTATTTCTGCCACGTTGATTCCACAGCCCTTTGGGACCCGAGGCAGAAGGTGAGCAACGCAGCGGGGTCCAGGCCCCCGGCTCCCTCGGGCCATCTCGAATCCAGGTAGGGACTCGGAGGATGGGCAACCAGCCTCCCTCCTCCTCGGTGACCTCCCAGAAGCCTGCAGGGCTCACCTTGCATCCCTCCCCGGTCAGAAGAGCCTCATAATTCTAAGAAGAAAACTGTGGCGGGGACCCACCTTCTAAGGAGACAGGATGCAGCAGAGGTGTCTCCCCGGAGGCGAGGAACACAGAGGGGAAAGGACACCTCAGAGAGGCTCCTGGGCCCACTTGTGGGATCAGCAGGAAAAGTAAGAGGGGTTTGGCTGTGGTCGAGGGACTGAGGTGGGTCCCGCACCTACGTTAATAGCCGTGATTGATATCAATTAGCCAGTTAATTAAGACCACTTCCATTTCCAAGCATGTGCCACACGGCAAGCCGGGAACACACGCTCTCTCTGCTCAGAAGTCAAGATGACTGTTGTCCCCATTTCACGGAGGGGGGAGACTGAGGCCCAAAGAGGCCCGCCAAGGTGACCAAGGTCACAGGGCCGCCGTGTGGCCAAGCCTGCTGGCTGTCCTGCCCCCTCCCAAACTCCCAGTCCGCAGACATCTCGGGGCCTGGTCTGGGGGAGGAGAGGCTGGGGGGGGACCCACTGCCACACTCTTTCCCGCCCTCACAGGTGGGCACTGCCCACTGCACCCCCTCCGCTCCCCCGCAGGCACCCGGGCTCTCAGGTCGGTCAGGGCTGCCCTGCCCTCACCACAGAGACACCCCCCCAGGGGGTAGGGGCAGAGGAGGGAGCAGGCAAGGGTGAGTTGAGGGGCTTCGGGGTGGGGGGTTGGAGGCTGGGGCCGAGCACCCCAGTCCCTCCGTCAGCTCTGCCCCGCTTCAGGCGCCCTGGGCACGGGGAGGTGCAGCCCGGCTCGTGTCTGCACTTACCTTTCGTCCTTGGATTTCCTTAACCTTCCAGGAGCCGCCAACAGTGAGGACCTACTGTCAGAAACTCAGCGTCACGTGGGTGCCCGGGAAGCCTTTCCAAGGCCAGGCATCTGCCCGTCCCCTGCCCCGCCCCCTCCTCCTGGCCTCCGACCCAGATTCCTTCTTCCCTCCCCCTGTGCCAACGCGGGGGCTGCCACGTGCTGCCACGTGCCCCTTCCCGGCGCATGGCCAGTCCCGTTCTCCCACCCAGGCTGGGGGTAGAGGGGGCACGGCCCCAGCAGGGGCAGCCCAGTGCCCTCCCGTCAGGGCAGCTGCTTCCACATTGATCTGCACTTCTGCCCCCTCCAACTCTCTCCCACCCGAGTCCGCAGCCTGACCATTCATTGCCAGGGTTCGGGGTCAGACAGACCGGGTTGGCCTCGTGCTGTTAAGCGGGGCGGCCCAGAGAAGTCCTCCCCGCAGGCGGTAGGATGACGGGCCCGGGGGTGGGGGGATGGAGGGAAGGTCCAGGCACAGGCCTCAGCGGGAGAAGAAGGGCTGGGAGGGTGCCCAGGCCCCCTGGCCTCCCCCAGAGTGTCCCATGGTCGTGCCCAGCCAGCTCTGGGCCTGTCCCCACCCCGCCGGCCCAGGGAAGGGCCTGGGCCCTGCCCTCCCGAGGGCTGTACCTCCGGCCGGCCACTGCCCCTTGGCCCCGAGTGGCCTGCCAGTGCCGGGCCCAGTGGCTGCAGCAGTGCCGTCACCTCCTTCCTCCCCAGCAACAGCCAAGCGGGAACCCGGGGCCAACCCTGCCCCCACCCCCCGCTGGCCCCGCCCCTGGAGGCGCTGCCAGCCCCCATCCCACCCCCACCCTTGGCTGGGGCAGGATGCACCGCCCACGGCCAGGCTTCTAGGAGGCGGCCGGGCACAGCCAAGCGGGCAGTTCTGAGGGCAGCAGCACCAGGGCAGGAGACCTCTCCCCCTCCTCCCTAAAACAGGGGTCACAGGGTTCTGCAGGTGAACCCGTGCACCCCTGCCTGCCTGTGCCCGCCATGCTCCCCGTGCCAGAAGGGAGCTTAGCACGGCCAGGTGGGCAGAAAGTGCTGGGTCAGCAGCAGCGTCGTGCCGGGGCTGGGGCTCCTTGGTGGGGTGATCCAGGGCCTTAGCACAGAGCTGCCTGTCCAGCCTCAACTGCTCACCCCCAGGGAAGGGGCGCTCACCGCCCTCGGAGGCAGGTCAGGAAGTCTGGGTTGCCCGCACCACCAGCACTGGACAGTGCTCCTGACCTGTCTGCCCTCCAGAGCTCCCAGATCCTTCTGTTTCTGGGCGAGATATCCATGAGCCTCTGGCTTTTCCACTTCACAGCGACCAGCTTCCCAGGGCAGGGATGCCTGCCTCCATTTGACTGTTGGGGGCACCAGGGCCCAGAGAGGGGAGCCAGCTTGCCTCGGGTCACACAGCAAGCTAGTGGGGGAGCCAGACCAAGCCTGCAGTCAGACAGACAGAGTGGGGCCTCAAGCTAGGTCTAGGGCGTCTGGTTTGTGCTCAGGCAGGAGATGCCCAGAGGAGACGCCCAGAGGAAAGCTGGAACGAGTAAGTACGTCCACCTCTGAATGTGCAAAGAATCAGAATAGGTGCTGATGTAAAATAGGACCTCCTCCTCCCACTGGGTCAAAGAAAGTATTTAAATTTCTGTCAGTGAACAAAATAGTAATGCCAGCTGCTGATACAGGGAGTGACAGAGGCACGATACTGCTGTGATTAATACAGACAAACAAACATGTGTGTACTTATTCCCACTGAGCTGTCCATTTGTGTGCCCTCTACATTTACTGAGCACCTACTGTGTGCAAAGAACTGCAGGGAGACCCAGAGGCAACTATGACCCATTCCCTGCCCTTGAGGGCCTCAGGGTCCAGGAAGAAGATGGAGGCAGGGAGGGGCAAGGTGACCACGAGGCTGGCTGTGTTGGGGGTTGGTCCTGAACAAGCTGTCCTTCTTTCCAGCAGAAACCCAGGAGGCCATCTCGGAGGAGGTGGCTGGGGGCTCTGGCCTATGTGCTGTCGCCATTGTCAGTCCCTATCATGGGGACAGAGACTGTCACTCACCCCCCTTGGCCTCTCTGGAGGAAGGCTGGCTCCACCAGCACAAGGCTTCCCGGGGCAGTGCTGGGGTCCAGGACAGAGAGGACAGCAGCCCGGTCACTCAGCAGATGGCAGGCTTGGCCTTGCAGCCCGAGGCAGGGGTGCCCTCCCTGGATGGGGTGAAGGACAGGTCAGAGAGGGCTAGGAAGGAGCATGACCATGTCCTCCTCAGACCCGTAGACACGAGATGCCCAGGCGAGGGACACAGTAGTCACTGCAGCCCCAGGACAGCAGCCGAGGCAGCCCAGACCTCTCTTTGCCCTCTGCTCAAAGACAGGCAGCTGTTGCAAAATTGTCCCAAGCAACTGGGCAGCACAGTCCCCCTGGACTTTGGACGAGGGGTGGTGGCTGGAGGGCTGGGCTTGCCTGTGGGTCAGCCTTGTAGGATTTGTCATCGATTGGGTGCTGCTTGGGTCTGGAAGAGGGCCACAGGTCAGGAGGTGGGCAGGCTCCAGCTAGGGACCCTGGGCCAGGGTCCTGCTGCCAGGTTGCTGTGCCATCTGGGCTGGTCTCCCCTCGAGGAGCCTCTTTCCCCATCTGGGAAGCAGGGACTACAACCCCCGGGCTGTCAGTTTCAGGGAATTTTTGTAAGTTTCTCTGCATGTTATTACCAGGCCTGAGACACCTCCTTCTGGCCCAGACTGGCCCTCTCCACAGCCCCGGCCAGCCCTCCACACCCACCTGCTGGCCAGGCTCCCAGGGCAGAGGGAGGCGTCTGCAGGCCGCCCTCTGACTGGGCAGATGTCCAGGGTGGAGCAGGGGGACTGGCCAGAGGAGGAGGTTCCTCCTCGGAGCTCTGCGTGTGGCCCTGCAGAGGAGGGACATTAAGTAACCAGCCAACAGTACCTGGCCACATCTGACCCAGCCACACCTGGTACCGGCCCCATTTGCCCCTGAGCCTTGCCAGCAGGGCACACCTATGGGGGGGGGGCGCAAGGGGGGCCAGCAGTGTGCTGAGTAATTCATGTGTGTCATCTCAGGGGAGGGAGGAACACTGTTGCCCATTGTAGAGATGAGAAAACCAAGACAGAACACAGCTAATGGGCACCAGACCCGGGCAATTCATGGACCAGGGAAGTTTCCAGAACAACTGTTGAGGGCTGCATTTGCACTGCCAAGATTTTATTTTTCCAATAAGAACCTTAAAAAAAAAAATGACATCAACTCCCTGCCCATGCCTTCGTGAAGACAATGTTTTATCATCTGGGGGTAAGTGGTGGTCCTTCCAGAGAGGCAGGTGGGTGCCCCTCCCCCTAGACGCACATGCCGAGGTCAGGTGAGGACGGCTGCGGGCTGCAGCTACCTGGGCCCTACCTCCACACACACACACACAGCGGGCGTGGGCAGCTGCGTGCCAGGGCCTTGAGGCTCGCACTTCACTCCGTCATTTCTTTCCAACGTT